GGCGGGTCTCAAACCCACAGGCTCAGGCAATCCACTCACCTCAGCCTCCCGAGGCGCAGGATTACAGGCTGAGCCACCAAGCCCGGCTGGGCTGGGTTTCTAAGTGCTCTTTCATTTGGAAATTTCATAAGAGTTTCTAATAATACCTGTTTTGGAATCCTCAAGGCCACCCCCAGGTTTGTTGTTTTGCTGAAATAACCATAGGATTCTGCATAAATCCTCTCCTAAATCATAATACTTGCAGTTATGATTTATTATGTTAAAAGGATACAAAGCAAAATCCAAACAAATGGTGCATTGGATGAAGTCTGGAAGAAACTTTTGGGAGCCAGCCTTGGAGGTCTGCGTAAACGGTAGTACTGATGACCCTGGGCCACAAGGACGAGCTCGGGGGCTGTGACCCCATTACCTTCCACCTTGCCTGACACAGTTGGCTAAGAAGAATTCTGTACAGTCGAGCTTGAAGATAACAGCATGCGAGGCATACATAACACACACAGCTAACTTTACAACATCATTGTTCGCTTTTCCACTTCCCACTATGTGGTTTGGTTTTCACAATTCATGTTATAATTAAAGTCTGAAGTATGTCAAAAAGATTCTTTTACTCAGTCACGAGTTATAGAAAATGAGTTAAGAATTTTTAGTTTATTGATTAATTGATTTAGGTATAAGGTTTATAGCTGGACTCGGTGGCTTAGCCTGTAATCCCACGCCTTTGGGAGGCTGAGGTGAGTGGATTGCCTGAGCCTGCGGGCTCAAGACCTGCCTGGGCAACTTGGTAAGACCTCACCTCTACAATAAATCAAAAAATAGCTGGGCGTGGTAGCACACGCCTGTATTTCCAGCTACTTGAAAGGCTGAGGCAGAAGGATCGCAGGAGCCCAGCAGGTCGAGGCTGCGGTGGCCGGGAGCGGCCACTGCACTCCAGTCTGGGTGACAGAGTGAGACTCCAACTCAAAAAAAAAAAAAAAAAAAAGATTTATGATATTCAAATCATAGTATAAGGTTGGATAGGGATTAAGTATTGTAAGAGATTTTATAGTTTAGATTTAGAATGGGAATTTAGTATTTTAGGATAAGTTAGAGTGAGTCAAATAAGGTGTGTTATAATATAAGGATTGTTATAGGTATTACTATAGAATTAGAAGTTTTTAAGCTTTAGAAATAAGTATTGTAGAAACAGTAAAAGGTCTTGGATTTCGGAAAGCTGGAACAAGGGACTTTTCATACGTGAAGGAATGTGCACCTGCATTGCTTCGAGGTGATTTCTTGGTGAACTTTGCTCCGCGCAGAAGAAAGAACTCTATGCATGGACTGTTTCAAAGCCTAGAGCCAGAAATTACTGTTTGAACTTTTAGTGATTGTTTAGTAAAAGAATTGGTTTCATTAATCATGTATTATTTAGCCGGGCTAATTGATTTATTGTAGAGATGAGGTCTCGCTGCCCAGGTGGGTCTCGAACCCGCGGGCTCAGGCAATCTGCTCACCTCAGCCTCCCAAAGGCGCGGGATTACAGAAAAACTGTTTTTGAGAAACATTGGTCAAGCATGAGGAACAGAAAGGCATTTTTTTTTTTTGAGTTGGAGTCTCACTCTGTCACCCAGACTGGAGTGTAGTGACCGCTCCCAGCCACCTCAGCCTTGACCTGCTGGGCTCCTGCGATCCTTCCGCCTCAGCTTTCCAAGTAGCTGGAACTACAGGCGTGCGCTACCATGCCCGGCTGATTTTTGATTTATTGTAGAGATGAGGTCTTGCCAAGTTGCCCAGGCGGGCCTTGAACACGCGGGCTCAGGCAATCCACTCACCTCAGCCTCCCAAGGCGTGGGATTACAGGCTGAGCCACCGAGCCCAGCTTGGAAAGACAATTTTATGTTTGTTCTTCCCCATGCTTGAGAAAACATCTGCCAGGTGCGGCGGTGCCCCTCGTGCACCTGGTCTTGCTCGTGTGATTTGTGCATGATGTGCTTTGTAAGGATGACTTTGCAGAAATCGGCGATAAAAACCCCCTGTAAACTTTCAATAAACAGCATCTGCTCTACTCTCAGAACAGTTGTCCAAAGTTTTACTATTCTCACTGCGCTGATGCCGTCTCCACCTTTGGGAATCTCTGGACTCCGCTGGGGCTGGACTCCAGCAGGAAACCAAGCACAAGCTTCCAGAAGTCTTCTCTAAGTGAAGTCACCAGCATTGCCCCCAGCCAATTTTTTTATTTTTTTTAGTTGGAGTCTCATCTCACTCTTGTCACCCAGACTGGAGTGCGGTGCCATGCTCACAGCCACCGCATCCTCAACCTGCTGGGCTCAGGCGATCCTTCCTCCTCAGCCTTCCAAGTAGCTGGAACTATAGAGGTCTCCCTTTGTTGCCCAAGCTAGTCTCCAACTCCTAAACTCAAGCAATCCTCCTGCCTCAGCCTCCCAAAGTGCTGGGATTGCAGGAGTGAACCACTACACCCAGCCCCTGCATATGTATTTTCATTGTCTGTTCAATATGAATCAACATGAGAAAAGTGCCAACCTTTTTTTCAGTGCTGTTGTCATTTGTGCAGTCTAACACCATTGTCATGTTGAATCTTTTTTTTTTTTTGAGTTGGAGTCTCACTCTTGCCCAGGCTGGAGTTCAGTGGCAAGTTCACAGCCACAGTAGCCTCGACCTGCTGGGCTCAAGTGATCCTTCTGCTTCAGTCTTCCATGTAGCTGGAACTAAAGGCATGCACCACCATGACCGGCTAATTTTTGGATTTATTGTAGAGATGAAGTCTCGCCAAGTTGCCCAGGCTGAGCTCAAACCCGTGGGCTCAGGCAGTCCTCTCACCTTGGCCTCCCAAAGTGCTGGGATTATAGGCGTGAGTCACCGCAACCAGCCAGTCATGTTGAATCTTAAATGTCTTGGATCTACCGGGCTCGGTGGCTCAGCCTGTAATCCC